TCTATATAAAATTCACCTCAAACTTGATCTTGCCCATCAGATCATTAGATTCATCTCCCAGCTCACAAACACCGATCAGGTCAATATGGAGGAAAAAAAGAGATTTGAAGATATCACAATTTCCATGGAAATTAACAGATCGGGCTACCATGTCAAAATGGCATAGTATAATGGGAGCTACATTCAGATACCCATGGGACCCCATAATTCAAGTCTGTTTAAATTTCTTAATGTTTTTGCTAATTTTGTAGGATACTCAAAGCCAGTGCAGGATGACTCTATATTTCTGCAACATGAGAGTGTATTACAAACCGAGGACCCCACATCCATATCTAAACTAATTTTTAATTCTCAAATTCAGGCAACAAATTCCAAAAGAAAAACATGTCTTCTCTTGTGAGAAAGGACCCCAGTTGCCATTGATTCAGGCCTACTCTGACGCTTCTGAAGATTTTGATCATTCTGATGACTCGCTCTATTCAGATGACTTCTTGGGACATGCAACCGAGAGCGATCGCCGTCCTCCTATTTCATACCCAGAAGAAATTAGAAGATCCAAATTCAATGCCGCGATTTGCCACAAAGCTAATTTCATAACCTCAGAAAATTGTCTGCCAACCGAGAACTTGAACACGCAACTAAAAATCTACAGAAAGTCTCAAAAGAACAAAAGGCGTCACAGCATGACAACCAGGACCCAATCAAGAGAGTTTCCATGGGATTAGCGCTTTTCTCTTTTTGCACTGCTTTTCCTTTGATTTAGTACTTTTATTTTTTCCTTCATGTACTTTTTTTTTATTTCTTTCATTCTCGCATTGTACTCTTATTTTATATCAATAAAAACTTGTTTCGCTTAAAAAAAAGAATAGAGAACTCTTAAGCACATAAAAAAATCCCAGCATGCACAAACTATAGTCAAGAACATACTTTATTGAGAATAATACTACCTCCGTCAATTAAAACTTTGCCAAGTTTGACCGGCACGAGGATTAATAAAGTAAAAACTGTGTGATTGAGTTTTGTGCAGAGGAGAGCGAAATTAACTAGAAGCACAAATTCTTTACTTAAAATGGAAAGTGGCAAAGTTAGTGGGACATCGAAAAAGAGAAAGTTGACAAAGTTTTAAGGGACCGAGGGAGTAACATAAACACATTACACATTATTACATTTTTGTATTTCATAAAATTTGATAGGACTTAAAAATTAGAAGTTAATTACTCCGTAATATGTAGTACTTACTAGCAAAAAACATACTCCATATTAGTTATTGACAAATACACTACCTGGTCTATAAACTTAGGCAATTCAAGACTTCAGCTCCTCTGTTTTATGTCACTCTTGTTTTGACTAACCTAGTTATCTTTCACGAACTAACTCAAAAATCCAGAATATGATGCCAAAAATGACTACTAATTCCTCATCATCAGAAATAACAAAAAGAATCATTCTCAATCAAAAAACTGAAAAAGAAATGACAAATTTTGCAATTAATTAAAAGGTCTCAATCCTAAAAAAGACATTTATCCTTTAACAAATGCAAAGTGTCGTTGCTCATTATCTCTAACCTAGAGGTATTAGAGACATTATAGAAAAATAAGAGCCGCAAAAGCATGAGTGCTGGAAAATAAAACCATGATTACATAATTGGCCTCTCAAAATCTCAAATACGAAATAGAATTCATTAGCCAAAAGGGGATAACATAATTTAGCAAAAGGAGAAAACATAATTATGAGATTCTAACAAATTGAGATAATGAATCACACTAATCAACTAAAAGTCATGCCTGAAAGAGATTTGTAGCAGTTCTAGCTACTCCGTATTTGCTACATCTACTAGCTTAGTATGCGTAATATCAATAAGCACTTCCATGGTGAACATGGGTAAGTGAGGGTCTGGAAGTTTTTTTTACGGTACAATGGTTAAATTACTAACCCTTGCTGTTAAAGTTGACACTGTCAATAAGGGTGTTTTTGCATATTTTTAATACTATAGGGGTGTAATTGATAAATCCTTAAACCTCAGGGGTGGTGGGTGATAATTTCCCATAGTAATAACATGATCAAAATTAATTGAATATTGGACTGTGTAGCAGCCACTCATCGCCGATAGGCTTGATTGGCCACATACTCATCGTTTGTAGTCAAGGGGGCAATCCGGTGTGGGACTCTGAGTGCTGAAGAAAAGGTGAAAATTCAAATGAAAAGAGTAAACATATTGATTTTTGGCAAGATAAATGAAAGGATATCCATCCTAGTTTTCTGAGTTTGCTTGTGCGATAGTGACGAGAGAAACAAAAGATTTCCATTCTCCAACCAGATTTTGTATTAGCAGTTTGTAAAAATCAGATCTTTTTTATAAAAAAAAATCAGTGTAATAGAAACACGTCTTTTCCCTTAACTTTAACAATTTAGCTTTAAAACGTTCGTTAAGCAAAATAATCTACTTGAAAATGTGTAACTTTGTTGCAAAGATTATATTTTGAAAATTTATCATAGGTATTTTTTTGAAAGGAAAATTTGTCATATGTATGAAAACTGATATACGTGCTTAATTTAGATAGATTTTTTTCGCCAAAACAATCATGTCTGCCACCTTGGGCCTCCAAGTCTCCGTAGACGCCCCTAATTTTGCCGACCATATTTCCTGTGATTTTGCCTTTTGGATAGGGCTAGATTCGGTTCGGTTCCCGAAACGAAATGGGAAATACCCGAACCCAAACCGATTTTTTGGTTTCCTTAATTTTGTTAACCGAACCAAATTTCGTCGGAAACCAATTATTCGGGAAGCAAATTTTCGGTTCGGTTTTCTTTTTAAATAACCGAATGAATAGTAATAACATGATCAAAATTAATTGAATATTGGACTGTAGCAGCCACTCATCGCCGATAGGCTTGATTGGCCACATACTCATCGTTTGTAGTCGAGGGGGCAATCCGGTGTGGGATTCTAAGTGCTAAAGAAAAGGTGAAAATTCAAAGGAAAAGAGTAAACATATTGATTTTTTGCAAGATAAATGAAAGGATATCCATCCTAGTGACGAGAGAAACAAAAGATTTCCATCCTCCAACCATATTTTGTATCTCCTTTTATCCCAAGTATTCGCATCCCACGAGTTCATAGAGCCACTTCGTAGCTCAATCACCTTCCCAATAGTTCTAGGTAAGTTGCCTCATCTCTGATTGATTCTCTACACTTTTCACTAATCTGTTATTCCTGATTTGAAGTTTTGGACTGTGGTCTGGTTTAGTGCCAATTTAATTGAAATACATATTGATTTTTTAAAAATAACTCTCTATAATTAGATTGGGCGACTCACCTTTATACTCTCATAAAAGGGAATAGGGGTGGACTCGGGCCGGGCGGCCCGGCCCGGAACCGGCCCGGCCAGGTTACTGTTTGGCCCGGCCCGGCCCGGGGCCCGGTGGGTCCACCGGTTCGGTTCGGCCCGGCCCGGCTGCTGGGCGGTTCGGGCTCGGGCCCAGTTTTTGGTGAACCGGCCCGGCCGGTTCGGGCCGGTTTTTAATTTTTTTTTTTTTTGAATTTTTTTTAAGTTTTGGGTTGGATTAGGTATTTTGGGCCATTTGAGGTGGTTTGGGGTTGAGGGGGAGGGGTTGGGGGTTAAATAGAAGAGCCAAAAAAAAAAAAAACCGGTTAGGCCCGGCCCGGTTTGGCCCGGAACCGGAACCGCCCACCGGCGGTTCGGGCTCGGGCCCAACTTTCCTGGCCCGAGGCCCGGCCGAGCCCAGTCCCGAACCGGGCCCGAACCGGACCGAGTCCACCAATAAAAGGGAATATAAGTATATGTTGCTTATACATCAAATCTTGCCATAAGAAAGATAGGAGAATCAGGTGTGGCAACGATTGCTAGAGGGAAGTCCTCAAGTCCCACAGCGCAGGGTATAGAGATGGGCCAAGTGATGAAGCCTAATTCTCAAATGACTTTGATGTGGTTTATGTCCAGAAACCGTGTTCATGGTTGATTGTTGATAAACGAAATGCAGCCATAAGGCAAATCTCCCTTTATCAATAGGATTGTGAGTACGAGCAAAGTTCCGTCTCAACTGTAGATTGGGATCCCCCAGATGATGTAAATAAATGGGGCTCTATGCAAGGATTTTATTCAAAACTTGGTCCATAATATGCAGTTTCCTTTTTGCAGATATTGTTATGGTCTACAATATCTGGCTCTAAAATTTTCTCCACTCTGGCATGTTGATGTTGTGAATTGTGATCTATATTTAGTCTTGAATCTCACGCACAGACTGTGGGCCACAGTGCTTTGGAGGGGAAGGTTCTACAGTGCTTAGTTCTTGATGAATAGAAGGTTTTACTTACCCAATACAGGGTGGCTGAAATGCATGTATTACGTTTTCCCTTCAATTTTATGAAATCTCGAGATATAGACTTTGCCTTCCAAAGCCGAAATCTTCTCCTCCAAAACCCTCAGTCCAAACAGAACCAACACACCTTTATATTTTCATGAGTTACGTGCTACATGGCTCTTTATCCATCCTCTGCATTAAGAGTTTGACACCATTTTCACTTGTGGTATGTTTGGATTACTGAAAGTGCTAGGGAATAAGAAAAGAATTGCTACTTATTTTGTTGAATTTGGTTTTACTTAGGAAAATGCATACTCCACATAAGAATCAATTTGTTTTTTTTTTCATAGAAATGAATACATAACATGTAACTTTTTCCAACTTTTTCACCAAACACGTAACTTTTGTTTTCACGCGTTGAGTTGTGTAATAAGCAGAAAAGTAAGATTAGAGTTACTTTTCTGGCTGCATTGACTGAAGTTACTGTAGATGACCATTTTAGTTATTTTTACATACTTCCTCCGTCTTTAATTCTTGTAACATTGAGATTTTTGCACTATTCACAGACTTTACTTTGACCGCGATTTTCTACTAATATACTTAATCAAATTATTATGGAGTACGTATAAAATGTTATTGAATTCCTATCAATGTGAATTTCCAAAATATCAACTTTTATAATGTTTACTAATACGGAGTACATAATTAAATATGATTACAGTCAAAGTTGTGCATTGACAAACGTGAAAGTCAAATTTTTGCAAGAATTAAAGAAAGAGCATAGTATAATTTTTTCTTCATTTTATTAATAAAATATATTTTAAATGTTGGTATAGACATCATTTAGCTATACCAACAAAAATATACTACGTATGCAATTCCGACTTAAATTTATGTGTTGGTATACGTGTCATCGGTATAGACCAACACCAACACATTTTCTTACCATCGGAATAGCTCATTAGCTTATACTCCGTACTAACAAAATACTAACTGCGAGTAATTACATTGTTGTCCTAAGCTTCTTTCTCCTTCCATGTTTAGTCAGAAATCTTGAAACACCTGAAATTAAAACAATTCCTCGTTAAATGAATAATAAAACATAACTCACATAATGGTGTGGCTGCACTTAAACTGCACAATCCATTTACATTATTCAACAATTTAAAATGCCACATATTTCAGAAATAGGATCAATGTTTAAAAAATCAGTCCTATTTACTCAAGGCAGTAACTCTGAGCAACAAAAATAGAAACTAAACTAGAAAAGAGATACTAGAAGCACACCTGAAGAAAAGTATTCTAAAGAAAAAAATTGTTTCACATTTGCTGCAATACTCTCCTAGTCATCGACAACAAAAAGTACAATCTGAAGTTTTTTACATGACTTTGCTTTTGAGATAGGAATAGAAGATATTAGAAGCGCACCTGAAGAGAATTCTGTGCAGAACTTTGCTTAATTTGATATAAACCACATCATGAAAGCCTGCAAAATTCACGTAACTTCACTCAACTGTACAATCATATATGCTAAAAGAGCAAAATTCATAAAAAGAAGCTAATTTTTCATTTAATAACTCAATAAATGTTGAAAACAGAAAATTAACAATCAACGGAAGAAACCGTTGCCCAACTTAATAGCTGAAAATTCCAATATGCCTGTTTTGAACAGCCCTAAGTAGGGGTTTAAATAACCCTCAAATCAAACCATAATGGAAGACAAAATAAACTAGGAAACATAAACTAGGAAGCATGTGTTTTGCTCCCGAATATAAAAGCATATCATAAGATGGTGTTATTAAATTTATAATAATTCTAGCATTTACATCTCCATGTTACATGACGACACTCCAAGAACAATAGAGGCAACATTTACTTGTTCCATGAGCCCATGCTGTTAGATTATTTTCTACTATGCCATTAAAAAATGTGACAGAGATCCGTTATACCTTAAGTAATAATAATCCAACAGAAACACTACTAAAGTAGTAGCTCTGTACTCGTGTTACCTGAATTCACCCAAACCCAACCTTCAAATAATAATTCTTGAATTGGCATTTTCCCATTTCCATCGAAGGGAAGGCTAGGGCATTAGGGGCTGCTGTCTCCATTCCCACATGGTCTTCCTAATTTCCTTGTTCGATTTAACATTAGAGTTCTGTCCCCAACGCATTGATATCCCTCTGCTGCTTAAACGACCTTGCACTCAGAGCATCGAAAACGCTCAACGGAAATATGTTCACCACCGTGTTGCTGCTCACCGCTTTCCCACTCCATTTTGAGTAAGAAAAACCTTGCTTACCAGATTGCCAAGATAGGCGCAAGCGTCCATTTGCATCCTGCAAAATAAGCTAAAACTCATTTGCATCAGATTCACATAAGCTCCAAAACACAAAAAAGATCAAACAAAAATGTACTTTATCAGTTAAATTTAAGCAACCTATGCCAAGGACTGAGGGGCTGTGGTCGATTTGAAGCTAGCTTAGAAGATATATAGAATAATATATAAAGTCACGGCTAAATATAAGTAGAACGGCTACCTGACATAGAGCATGCCTTCGTCTTCTTGATCACGAGTTCAGCCACAAACCATAGCATGCACGGACACATCTCTAGTGTAGAGAAATGATTTTATTTTCTTCTTCCTGACTTCTTAGTCCCAACATCTATATTTGTCCAGAGTTTGGGGATATGTCACTTTGGAGATCTAATTCCTTTAGCATAAAAGTTGTAGGAGACAATTAGTTGTAATTAGATGGTAAATACAACCTTCTTTATTACTCTGCCCGCCCGCTAAGATTGTCTAAAAAAAAATTATGTATTATATCAGCATATACAATTCGAGAGATTATATTGTCATAATAAATTAATATGAATTGAGTGCATATGATATACATATGCATATGAATCAAATAAGTGAATAATGAATCCTTACAAATTGAGAATGATGGTACCATGTATATCATGATTCTATGAAAACTCCATATCTAGATTCTCTTCGATCTCACAATCCATAGAGAGAAAATAAAAGATTTTTTCAAGCATAGTTCAGCCGCAGCAACATGCCAGTAAAATACAAAAAAAAGTAGCAATAGTATCATAGTACATAAATTGTTCAATTATATGATTGAATCTTGCTAAACTTGAACGAGTAGCTAATAGAATCATCAAATCAATGAGTAGTTACACATATAAGTATATGACACAGTTCATATGATGTACATCAACCTAAAATCAAAATTACTTGTGATGTATGATGAATCAAGTTTACCCTTAAGAAATTAATTGTTGAACATGACTAGAGAATACAGATTTGTCTTCTGCCTCGAAGCTGAAGAAGAAACCTTCATTTATGAAGAAACTTCATAGGTTTGAAATACATACTGTTTTTTAAGGAACTCATACCTCCTGCAGTTATCTCCCCTTCCTTTCTCTCCAATCAAACAAGTGACAGGAAATAAAATAAAAATAATTAAATGAACGAAATTTGCAATATCTACTTGCACCAGAATATTTTATGTTAAAAAATTAAAGTAAGAATCCCTCTACACTTTCCAATGAAAATAAGAAAACCTTTGTGTTAAAATGAAACTACCTCAGCAACTAGGTAGTTACTATTGACACCTAGCGAGGTTTATAGAATGAAAATGGGGAAAAAACTGCCCAATAATGCATAAATTCTCTACAATAAATGCAGAGTCTATGTTAATATCACTGATTGAAAAACAATTAAAATATGCAAGAAAGTGCTATGAAATACACAGAAAAAATATGCCTCAAAAAGCTGCCTTAATTGCTACATGAAAAATTGCTCCGAAAAACTCAACAAATCTGCAGCAATAGCATTCTGATTTCGTGCATTAAAAATGGTCTATCATGCAAAAATGTTGTCTAAATAGGAAGATGTGGCCTGCCAATCAAATGGAGAAAACATAATAAAATAGGCACAAAAAACTGCTATGAAAAGCACAATAAAAACTGCAAAGATATCTGCATAAAAGGCATATAAGCAGTCCGAGACCAATTACTTCCACCAAGGATAGCAGAGACGAGTTGGCTTTGAAGGTTGAAGAGATCAAGAAACAGGTGACAAGCTCGGGCACAGATTGAACACTTTGTTGAGGTTGTCATACTAAAAATGAGGTCAATGTTTTGTTGTTACACAAGACAGGAAAGGAATATCACTATATTTAACCGATTATTTCTTAAAATGTGTTGTTGTTTTAATTACTAACCATTTGGGGGTGGATCTGGGCGTGTTTGGTGCTGCTCTCTGGGAAAAAATATAACGGCCTGGGACTGGCCTCCTATTAACAGGTTTCGGTCGACTGGGGATCCCAATTCCAGTAAGGTTTGGTGCTTACGTATTGTCTTTATAGTGAGAGAGAAATCAAAGTCAATGTTGTTTTTAATTTTTCTTATTTAAAGCAATAGGAAAAATTAATACAAATAAGCAGTCCAAAACATCTGTGAAATGCAGAAAAATCTGCAGAAATGGAATGCCAGAAATGAACAGAAAAGCCCAAATCTGAAAAATAAAACTGCAATATACGAAGTATATAAAAAAAATAACTAGTGATTATAGTTATAGTATAATTTAGTAAACACATAGTTACACAGACAATTACTGGAAAATAAAAAGAGAATTACTGAAATTTCAAACAAAAACGACAGCATCATGCACTCCGCAATCACTCCCCCCTCTATCACCAAAGCAAAATGAAAATCACTAGTCAACGATTTGCAGATGAGTACCATACAAAACTCCCAAGGTAACACCAGATAAATAAGAAAACAACAAAGGCATCACCATAAAAATCAAAAAAATGGTAGGATAGTCCAGGGGCGGAGCCAAGACACTGGGCCAGACTGGGCCGGTACAAAGAATATTTTTGAAAATTTTTTTACACGGAATTTTTTACACTAAAAATAAAGACATTTTTAAAATTTGGGCTGGGCCAGGGCCAGGTCTGGCCCACCCCCAGCTACGCCCCTGGGATAGTCTAAACAGCACCTTGAAAACCTAGAGTTTAATCTGCAAAAGCACACTATCAACACAGATCACCTTACGAGTAAGCTAGAATAACCTCATTCCTAGCCTTCCAAATTATGTAAACAATGCATACAGTATCTTTTGGGCACCTTGGTATTGTTTAAGCCGCATTTTGACTGAAGTGAACATTGTAGAAGTATGCTTTTTAAGTCTCAGACAATGACCAACCAAACCTCTGTGACATTTCCTTCATGAATGGACATTTAAAGAAAAAATGTTGCAATGAATCCACTTGTACTTTGCATAAACAACAATCCTGGGTGCAACTTTATCATTATAGATATGTGTGCTTACACACACCCACATGCCAAATTACTAGCTACAAATGGAATCATAATAAAAATAAGCAATAATAAAAATTAATAGTTGAAAATGATCAACATGAATCAACATGGTCCAATAAAAAGAAACAGCATACAACAAAAATCAACAAATCAAAAACAAACAAAAAAAATCAACAAAAAGAAACATGTTACAAAAAAAGCAACAAAAAAACACGATACAACAAAAAGCAACAAATTAAAAACAAAAAAAACAAACAAAAAAACAAAAGAAAATAAAAAACAGCATAAAATACAGAGTAATATTCAGTAAGTGCATATGTCAATAATAGAGTACAAAACAGAGACATACATCTCATCTACGGGTTATAAAATTTACCATAATCATTAATAGGTAGCATACAAAAATGAAGCTAACATAAACATCACAGCACATATTCATAGTTTCACTAAATCTGATTAACAAACACAAACACACTTACACACCAGATGTAATTCTCTGAAGGTTCTAAGTAGTGAACCGTATTCACGAGTGTATGAAATTAATACACCAATTAACATTACTTCGTATGTTAACCTCTCACAATATATAATCAAGCAAGTATATATCACTAGGATTAATACAATGTCGGCTTCTATAACTAGACTTACTGGAACAGAAGCTCCACCTCCGTCCGTCATAGCTTTACAAGATTAGGTTGAGTTTGATTCAGTTGAAACTTAAAAGTGAAAAAATAGTGGGCTTGTTGTGACAAATGAAATTGGTTCAAAATCAGCAAAAAAGAAAACATAAAGGTTCAGTACAGCAATTTTCACATTTAAAGCTATATACGTAGTACGTAGTATCTATATATCTCTACATTTCTTTTTTTTTTCTATATCGTGGGCCGCATTAACCAAATCTTTTTACTTGGCCCAATCCTTCTACAAGTTGGGCCTACACCCGCCCCTGCTTCTGAGCAATTCTGTGGGACCGTCTCGGGCCTGCTCCCGGATCAATTAACTCAACACTGGAAGCAGAATCAGGACTGGAAGGCGGCGCCCATTCCGGACTGGTCGGCAGAGACTCGGACGGCGGAGACTCCGATGGCAAGTTCGGACTGTTCGGCGGAGACCCGGTCGGCGGCGACTCCAATGGCAAGTTTGGACCGGTCGGCGGTGACTCCAATGGCAAGTTTGGACCGGTGGGCGGCGACTCCAATGGCAGGTTTGGACCGGTCGGCGGCGACTCCAATGGCAAGTTTGGACCGGTCGGCGGCGACTCCAATGGCAAGTTTGGACCGGTCGGCGGCGACTCCAATGGCAAGTTTGGACCGGTCGGCGGCGACTCCAATGGCAAGTTTGGACCGGTCGGCGGAGAACTGGGCAACTGCGGCAATGGCAACTCCGGAATGACCGGAACTCTCACAGTCCGTCTTCTGCTGGGCCACCTCCAGGTCGGAGACGGATGAGCCATTGCCGGAGAGTGCTGATGATTATCTTGACCCACTGGTTGTAGTTGTCCTTCGTCTTTTTTATCTGCCGGAGAATAACCGGAATCTTGATCCAAATGTCCTTCATCCCCTACATGCAGGGGCGCCGAAGAATAACCGGAATCTTGACTCAACTGTCCCTCATTCCCTACAGGCGCCGGAGTAGTATGCCCAGAACCACCCAACTGTCCTTTATCCCCTACATGCAGGGGCGCCGGAGTGTAATCGGAATCTTGATCCAACTGTCTTTCATTCCCTACGGGCGCCGGAGTAGTATGCCCAGAACCACCCAACTGTTCTATATCCCCTACATGCAGGGGCGCCGGAGTGTAATCGGAATCTTGATCCAACTGTCTTTCATTCCCTACGGGCGCCGGAGTAGTATGCCCAGAACCACCCAATACCTGATGATGCCCCATTTCTTGGATATCCGGTGAAGGAGACCGTCTCTGGCAGTTTGGATTGTCCATGATAGGATTAGTTAGTTTGAGTTCGTTGGGGTGTACTTACTAGTACGTACTCGGATCACATATAGATAGTACTACGTATATATATATAGAGAAATCATCTCATCAGGCCGGCCTGACGGGCTGCCCCGTCCGGCCGAGCCCGTTTGGGAACCTTCCCAGTGGAATTTTTTGATGAAATTTTTTGAGCATGTTCCTCATCAAGTCTAGTTTGTCCATACCAAATTTCAGCTCAAAATTCGACCGGGAAGGTCGTCAAATGATTTTTGCAAGTTAACTGGTCCGGAATATGTACTTTCCGGACCAGTTAACTTGCAAAAATCATTTGACGACCTTCCCGATCGAATTTTGAGCTGCAATTTGGTATGGACAAACTATACTTGATGAGGGACATGCTCAAAAAATTTCATCAAAAAATTCCACTGGGAAGATGCCCAAACGGGCTCGGCCGGACGGGGCAGCCCGTCAGGCCGGCCTGATGAGAAGAGCTCTATATATATATATTATATATATACGCAGTAGTGTTGAAATTTTTTTCAGAAATGGACTCAAATGTTCAACATGATACTACGTAATAAATTTTACTCCCTCCTCCAGTTGGGATGTTCCCAGTTTGACCTACACACATATTAAGGAAATAAATTTATCAAGGGAAATTTTACTTTTTTGACACTGTTTGGACATTGTTTGACACTGTTTTGCACTGTTTGACACTGTTTTGATGTAGGATAACTTTCCATTTAGGGAAATGAGAACTTCTTTTTGGGACATCCAAAAAAGGAAAGCGGGAACTTCCCAACGGGACAGAGGGAGTAATAAATTTTGGGACATTATATTAATAAATTTTGGATATAATGTTACAGAACATCTAATTATAACTATCATTATTATGAAAAGTTTTGGATACTAGTAATACGAATTGAATGATTAAGTTAATTAATGGTTTGTGCACGTGTGTTATGTGTGTTATTAAAAGAAAATTTTAAAAAATGATTTTAAAATTTTGAGTGAAGCATGCAGTTTTTAGGTATGTTGGTTTTATAATAAACTAGGGTAACACCCGGGCATGATCCACCACCATTCTCGGCACCTACGTTCGGGGGTCCTACCTTTGTTGGGTCACCCACTGTCTCCTCAATTGTGTCTTCTACTCGTCCAATAAGGGTCCTCACCCCCTGACTGAACTTGCCCAAACTATTTCTCACGTGGCGACTAATGTCACAAATATTGTGACTACTAAGCTTTGGCAGTGGAGGATTATACAACCTCGCGGTTTGAGTCCCTTTTGGTCTCACAGGCACTCCTCGGCATGGTAGATGGCTCTATTCAGGTACCTCCTGCTTATTCCATAGATGTGCTCAATCATCAAACTCTAAATCCCGAATTTTCAACTTGGTTACGAATTGATCAAACAACCCGTTCATGGTTATTTGCCACCCTATCTCAGGATGTACTTATCGATGTTCGTGATTTGAAACATTCATTTGAAATTTGGGAACGATTGGAGTCTCGTTTTATGTCTGCCAGTTTAGCACGATCTATGGAATTAAAGAATTTGCTGAATCTAGGGGTGAGTTCGGTTCTTGCGGTTCGGTTTTGACCTAAAACCAAATATAGAATCAAAGTAAAAAGTTCGGTTTCGGTTCGTTTTTACACTTCAAAACTTGGAACCACGGTTTGATTGGTTCGGTTTGTTTTGATTCGGTTTTGGTTTTTTCGGTTTTTTACCAAAAAAAAATCATTTGATTTAAAATTGATATGTAGTATAATACTTTGAGGGATCAAACATATCTTACATAAAGAATGCAAGAACACTACAACAAATAAAATAAAAATGAAAATAAGTAAATATGTCACAAATTATATGAGTATGCGAGAGAGATAAAAGTATATATATTATTAATTTACATTGTTGTGACTAGTTCAAAAAAAGTTCATGGGTATATACGTTCTATGTGATATAGTTGAGATGAATATTTATTGTTTCATCAATATGAATTGTTTAAGTTCAATAAAAATAAAAGTTAATTAATACTAATAACTAGTAAAAAACATATTATCAGTTTAGCTACATTATTACGGGCACTGAATGTGTAAATGAATTCATAAACGAAATTAAACATAACACAAACATTATTTGTCTAGCACAAGAAAACCAAAGACTATTAAAGATATTATGATTATATGCTTAACAATTGACAAATAAATTTTATATTTTAATTATTTCGGTTTGTTCGGTTCGGTTTTGAAGGGTAAAAACCAAAACCGAACCAAACAACTACGGTTCGGTTCTTTACATTCGGTTTCGGTTTGGTAGCGGTTCGTTTTATTCGGCTTCGGTTCGGTATGATTTGATTTGGTTTTCGGACCCAGCCCTAGCTGAATCACATTAAAAATAAACCTGATCAATACATGGATCGGTATTTAAGAGAAATACTAGGAACCCAGGACGGAACCGAACCGTTCAAATCTCGAAAAATGGCGAGAACCCGAAAAATACCAAACCGTTTAAAACTCGAAAAATGGCGAGAACCCGAAAAATACGTCGTCACACAGATTCAAACCCGCGCCTGCAACAGAGAATGGAGACCTCCTGACCAACGCTGTATGAATGTATGATAAATAGTTGATAATAACGGTTGTTTACCGTGTTTTATGCTATATCACCCTGGGATATACGTAGTATTTATCAAGTCTTAATCACTTAGTTTATTAATCAATTAATTTATAATAAAAAATACGCATCAGTAATCAATATATATATATATATATATATATATATATATATATATATATATATGATATGAATTTCCATCCGAATAAGGTAAGCTACTTGAACATATATATACTCCGTACTTGATCAATAAAGTTTTAAATGTTTTCATATATGAACGTCTAATAGTATATATCAATTTCATTTTTAAGTTAAAGTATTGGATGAAATTACTACAGACGACCATTTTAGCTATTTTTTTCGTTAATATTTTTTTGATTTTATTTAAAAAGTACGTAGAATATTTTAAATCTAATATTTTTATAAATCAGCAAAACCAGCCAATACAACCACTTCAGGCAGAACTTCATAAAACATAGTCTATGTGTACTATACGGATGACTATTTATTGTTGTGGTTCCAATTGCTTAATTTAATAACTATCCAAATCAATACGGAGTAATAAATTGACTAATAGGTCATGAAAAACATATCATATATATATATATATATATATTATATATTATATTATATTTATATATATTTTCACAAGTAAATACGTTTAGCCTAGACAAAAAAGTAAATATGTTTAGTTTTTTCTTTATTGAAAAAATTCCATTAGTATTACTCTTTAAAATGTGATGGACAAAAATATTACTTAGTAAGTATGAGTAACTATATTAATTCACATTATTGAATTAATAGTCAATGCTTTGGTGAGTTGTGAGTAGCAGATTAATGAGTGTGGCAATAATTTAGGGAAGTATTTGTAAGACAGTATGCGTATTTATTGAGTTGTACATGAATGAATTGGAGAGTAGTTAGGAAAGTATGTTTAAGGCAGTATCTTTAAGGCAGTATGCGTACATGAATGAAAGTATGTTTAGGACAGTATATATAAATGAATATTAGACCTTCTACTAAACCAAGTAATAGTACATTTAGAATAGTGACTGGATTGGTGAGTTGTGAGAAGCAAATTAATGGGTGTGGCAATAAGTTAGGACAGTACCTTTAAGATAGTATGTTTATTTGATGAGTTGGAAATGAATGAATTGGAAATTAGTTAGGACAGTATGTGTATTGAGGTAGTGTATCAAGTGTATATATGAATACATTTTTATGCTTCGATCAGGTATACACAGGGGACACAACCCCGCTGGCGGTTGAGGGTATGCCAAAACGACAGGCCAAACGGCCAAAAAGATTCACCTTCTCTGGGCCCCAAAAAGATAAACGGAGGAAACGAGGTAAATGAAAGGAGCAAGATATAGGTGACGATGTGCCGCATGGAATAGTGGGACCATTCAGTTTAGATCCTTCTGAAATGCCAAGTGCAGCAATGCTTGAAAAAACAGCAGTCATCATGCATGAAGGACTACTAAAAAACCACCAAAAAAGCAAGGACAAGAAATACAAGACAGGATATGATGAACTAAAGATCAAATGCGTGAAAGGAGGATTCGGGGATTGAAGCATTGATAGGAAGTCATGGTTCTACTCGATTTGCTTCCCAGGGAATTGGTTAGCTGACACGGTAAATTTATATTGTGTAATATTATTTTTGTCCTTCATATTACGTATATTCTCGACTGTAATGCAGTAATGAATAATAAATCGATTTTTTTTGTGAAGCATGTGGAGTTGGGGATGTATTTCTTGAGGATGAAAGTTGAACAATACAAGCTGGAGCAGAAATTTACGACAGCAGATCCTATGTTTATGCATTTGGTCAAATAGCATTACGAGAACCACATTAGCAATGAAATGCCAGTGTCAGAAAGTGCTTTAAATAAGAATATAATGTGTACCATACTTAAGACACGTTTGGACTACGCACTGCCATGGGCTGAAGCTGAGCATGTCTACATGCCATTGAATACAGGTAGCGAACTGAATTACTTTGGTGTGTTGTTTATGACAGTATGAGCAGGGCAGTAATTTTTGACAGTATGTTTAAGGCAGTACATTGTTTGAGGTAAGGAAATAAGTGTTTATTTGACAAATTAAACAGGTAACCACTGGATTCTGCTAGTACTGGACATAGCTAAAAAGTGCATACGTGTGTATGATTCTATCGTTCGTCGGGAACAAACAAACATACACCTTCACCATTACCTCCCGAGCATGCAAATGTATTTACCTAGACTGATGGATAAGCTAGGAGTGTACAATGAGCGAAGTGAGGGGCCTATGGGGGATGACTTCTTGCAAATACATAAGGTGAAAGAATGCCCACAACAAAATGATAGGTATGTGATTTGTTCAATGATGGTTTGGTATAATTGATTACAAAGTCATTAATTGACAATTTTTTTTATTCCCGAACAGTGACAGTTGTGGGATGTTTGTGTTGAAGATGGCTGAGTATCTAATGATGGGCAAAGATGTGGAGTACCTGAGGCCTAAAGATATTAATGCTTACCGCGGCAAGATGACGACAGAGCTACTAGCTTATTTTGGTGTAATAGGAGCATAACCTTGACAAATTAATGCCTTTCTTGTTTTTTATTATTATTTTGAGATATGGGTATTAGGACAAGTGGAGATGAAACATTGCAGTATGGCTTGGATTCTGAATGTTGGTTGTTTGACAAAATTTATGTTAGAAGTTGAACATTTTATTTTATTGTTTTGGTATGTGATGGAGGAGACAAATGTTATTGCACTTCTTATAGATACACTGCCTATATAGATTGAATTAACGTGTGAACAAACGCATGTATAAAGTTACTGGGCAAACATTTAAAACATTTGACTTCTAAATTTAGTAAAAAAAAAGGTGGCATCAACATTAGAAGACAGTGAATTATTCCAAGTATTAGATGAATTAGTAGACTATGAATTAGGATATTAGTGAATTTTGAAGTATGAAGGTTAAGGTCAGGGAAAATGGAAAGGCCCGTGGGCATTAATATGCACATTTACAGAGAAGAATTAATGCCCGACGAATCTGTAGTAGCGAAAATTAAAATAGTTTCGTGTATAACATAAAATAAAGCAATGTAAATAAAATGCCATTGGCGATGCGTTAGTTTTAATGAAAAACCTTATACGACCTGGCAAAAACAATGTAATTACTGGTATGCAGTCTATGTAGGGAATTAAACTATTAACATGGACATCAAATAAATAGTAAACCACGAACATTCACACATGGAGGGAAGCAAGTCATATGGAATTCATATCCAAAAATAAATAACAGTAACAAGAATGTTCAGAAAGAAAGCAAAACCTAACAGGTGAATGTCACTAAATTTGTAGCAATATTTAAAAAAAAAAAGCAATTAAAAGCGGTTTTTAACGCATGTGTAGCGGAATCGGATTTCTACAGGTCTTTCGGTTGTGTCCAACCATGTGACAACGAGTGCATGCTTGTTTCCGAACATGTTCTCCGGTAGAAGGAATCCTTCTCTTCTTCGGCCTTCCACGAGGTCGTGATTCGCATGATGGGGGCTTGCAAGTGATTTGACTAACATGGGAGGGTACCATCCAACCATCCAGACTCCCAATAGGATGAATAATGCCACAATATGTTTGTGCCCAATGATGTGCTGTATAGAATTCTGATATATAATCGTAGCAAGAAGGTCCTGGTCGAGAGCGAATGGCAGCAACGGAATGTACACACAAAAATCCATCAAGCTCAAATTCCCGACAAGTGCACGTACGTTCCTTCAAGTTGACAACATACGAGCGGGATTTCTTATCAAACACCTCAAACTCAAAAGCACATGATGGTTTCACCTGCACAGTGCATTATAAAATAACCAAAAACAAAATAAAATATTTAGAAATGTAGAATTAATTAAATAGCAGTGGAATGAAGACAATTAAAGCAGTGAAATAAAGACAATGAGTTGAGGGGAATACTGTCATGACGGCCGCCATAGCTTGTAAAACTACTAGCTCAGACTCAAAGTGTGTAGATAAACGACAAGTGTTCGACGATGAAGTTTCTCGCCTTTCACAGAACCACTTTTGCATCCTAGCAATAATAAACTCTATCAACTTACGGATTGGGTATTCTCGGGCCGTGGCATTAACTGCATTTAGTGACTCCGCATTGTTTGACATCATAACTGAGTATCGATTCCGACTGGCATAAGCACGAGACCATTTGTCGTGACCCATCCGCTCTAAATACGTACAAATGCGTTCATCCTCACTCTCAAGCATGCGAAGGTACTCTTCACACTCATACACAGATCCTACACGAGCAGCTTGCAAAAACTTCCATGACACGGTTTTTTGGGAGCCACGAAATCTTGTTTTCAAATTAGCCAGAATGTGGTAAACACAATACCCATGCTCCGCGTGAGGAAATATAGAACGCACAACATTAATAATGCCCTCGTGTCGATCAGACACAATATATAGATCATCCCTATGCGTTAACGAACGCTTCAACATGCTTAAGAACCATGACCAGATTTCAGTATTTTCCCCACTACAAATACCAAATGCCAATGGAAATATTTGTTTGTTTGCATCTTGTGTACATGCAGTGAGTAATGTACCCTTGTAATACGACTTCAAAAAAGACCCATCCACAATTATAACAGGAATGCAATGAATCCAACCTTCTTTCCATGCAGAAAGGCACATGAATTTTTTTTTAAATTCACCATTTTCCTTGCAGGAATAAGAAACAATAGAACCTGGGTTACTCCTATCAAGCACATGACACATGGAAGGTAGCCGAGCATATGATTGTTTTTCAGATCCCATAGCCAATTCCATTGCCAATTCTTTGGCAATCCATGCTTTTTTATATGACATGTAAATGCCATACTTGGTCTGCATATCAAGCATCACTGATTTGGGAGGGTATGGCTTATTGGAGGGATCACCGTACTCGTGTTTGATTAGTTCGGCAATGATCCTAGACATAGCCTGGCGGCTATTTCGTTGACGCGCATCAATGGGGCATGTGTGCTCAGAGTCAAATCTGGAAAAAAATGATAAGAGTAGGCATTATTTTATGGGCAATATAGTGGATAATAATTTAATGCACAGTGATCCGAATAAAAATATAAACACAGACTTGATACATATGTAATAAGACATAAAAAAGAATAGATAATGTAAATATGATCACATAAAAAGCCCAAACATTAAAATAATCCAATTAGAATAATTTCGGCAATGTACACAATTAATTAAATAACATAAACACATGATGGAAATTGACTATGTATTAGAACTGACTTTCATAAAATATATGACCATTAAATTAAAGTGGGGAGAGGACATTAAAAGTGAAGTAGAAGCAGGGAATTATTTAGGGCAGTGGGAAAAATGATGAGATACATTGACATGCAAAGAGACCTTAATGCAAAAAGGAGGGCATTATAACATTTGATCAAAGTGCATTATTATAAATACTCACATTGTAATAATGAAATTATTTCCCTTAAACCAATTTTTTTTTTAAAAAGGGACACAATAGAAGTACGTAATAAGGCATTAATTTTATATGTTATTTTGAGTGCACAATGTAAGTATGTTCAGTATGTTACGTAGGGCAGTAATGAGATACATTAACATGAAGCAAAACTTAATGCAAGAGGAAGGAAAATATAACATTTCCACAAAGGGAATAATATTTATGCCCAAGTTCAAACACTGATTTATTTCCCTTTTACCAATTTATTTTTTCCAACAACCGAAAACACAGACAACATAAAAAAAGTAATAGGACATTAAATTTATATGCCCTAGACACTGCTGAATTAAATTCTGTACATTTACATTAAGTAGGACAGTAATATACAAAGCAATGACTCCGTAAAAGACCGTCATAGGGAATTAAATTTACACGTCATTGCCACTGCTCATTTGTTTTTAAAATAATATTATGAAAGGCAGTAATACACATGCATGCAACGTATAAACAACAAAACAGTGACGGGGCAGTAATAGACAAGAAATATATGCAATAAACTCAGAGAAATGAATGCATACCTTTTAACTTGGAACAATGAGACTTTGTCGATGCACACAGCACGCACAGCCCACTTGCAATTGGGGTAATCAACACACACAACACGCAAAACCTTCGGGCAAGATGTCTTCGTTCTATATTGGAAAAAGTTGGTAATAGCATACATCTTTAAGTGAAAATCAAGTTCCTTCTTGCTTCCATAGATGCTATTCAATGCAATACGCGTGGGTTCGCAATGGTTGACTACAGGCATATTATGAATCTCTTCATCTACGAGAGCATTTAACCTTGTAATTTCAGCACTCGAAATATGTTCAAGTTCAAAGTCTGCATCCATAGTGTGACTGAAATTATTGCCTTCATCACTTAAGCCACCACGCTCTTCGACATAACTCGTATGATTAATTCCACTTTCATTGTGAATATCATCACATATTGTGATGCTCTATTCCTCTCCAATCGTAGCATCAACCTCCTCACCGGATACAAATTCCGCACAGTTACTGACCTCAATATCATCGGTGGTAAAGCTGCAATTGTCTGCACCAGAATGGATATCATCAATCACGTTTTCAGGGTGATTATGATGGGCAACTGAGATATCTTGATTTTCTGCGCTGGTAGCATGTTCATCCGCTGCTTTAGGAACATCTGGTAAAATTTCAATGCACAAGGGCATTTTCATCGGATCACTTTGAATGCTCTTCAACTGCAGATAAAACTGCAATGTCTCGTCGTCACATACAATCACCAGGGGTGGGCATGAAGCAAAAACGTATGAGATCAATATATTCTTGTCAACGTAATTCCCCCCCATAGCAGAAAACAAACAAGAACGAAGAGAAGCGAAAGTACAATTAGCCGGTATTGTTATCCCGGCAACATGAATACTAGAAAAAAGAGTGTTCGTTACCCACTGACCATCGAATATGATCATTATCCATATTGATGGAGGATTTCCAGGGAGGGAATCCATGGATACTAGGAGCAAAACGGCACACGGTACTGTCCTGTTGGTGGTCTAGAAATGGAGAATGAAGAAAGAAAACGGTTTCCGCAATTATAGATCGATATTAATTAAAACGATTGATATATAGTATGTATTATATTCTTAACGGGAGTGCAGCGGCTGATCGTGCATATCATTTGCGAAAAAATAGGAGCAAACCATAAGATACTCCGTATTAATTAATTAACTTGGAGGGCACCGGTGGAATAGAAATACGTGTAAAAAATTATTAAATCATGATGCATGGTATTAAAGCATCATAGTAGGAAGAAAACATGGCTAAGTCATAGATTGGTAAAAACATGATGTTTTAGTAATACGGTGGATAATTTTCTCAAAAGATATAAACTTCTGCTAGCATACTTCATCTTCAAACGCATACTTCATCTTGAAAATAGTCCAAGCTCTTGGAGGTTACCCATGTTTCCCATTCTCCCAAGCCGTAGAAAGTACTCCGTCTATCACAGAGTACTAAAAATTACATTAATTAATTGTAGTATTAACAACCCAATCCACATATAATTAATGAAAAGATATACGTACAACGATGATTTATTTTGCTTCCACAGGAAGATTTATTAAAGAGTCTTTGTTTGTATTTGGTTCTCAAAGTTTCACGCATATACGACGATGAAAGAAGGAACCGTCTTAAATTTAGCCTGGAATTTAATACTTTGCTGAGTCACAATGTCTAGAAGGCTTGCTGAAAATCCAAAGAGAAGTGGACGCCGTGGTTTTATCGATTCCAGCTCATCAAGGCAGCGCATATAGACGTTCCCGTTGGAGAAGCTAAATTTATCTCAAAGTCTATTTATCTCATGTGGCAGTGCATATTTCGGGAATCCATTTTCCCATTACGGATGCTCTAAGCATGATATGTTACGTGCTCAATACGTGAACATGTTATCCTACTTGGCAGATGGACCCGACCTTGATTATCATAACTAGTATGTGTACCCGTGCATTGCACAACAAAATATGCACTTAAATTTTTTATTAAAATTGTAAGAGAAATGAATTGTATGTGAATTTGTCAATATGGATTTAAAAGAAAATTCACTTGACTGTGGATAGAGTTGCCAAAATGAGTCAATGTCCCTAGGACAAGGCCATTTCATCATATTTCATGGTAGGTGAGAGTTGTCATTTTTTTACCCAATGAACTCAGTGCGTGGTTTCGTGAGTCAACCTGCACGGGTTGCATGTTAAGTGAGTTGACTCATGGAGGTTGTGAGTAAACCAAAATATAAAATATGTTTTTTTTTGTTTTTTTGTCTTCAATATTATTTGTTTACTACATACCAAAATTATTTTCAAATATACTTATAATTTTACAACGCTTGTTGAACTATTATTTCTATATATAATAATTATTCAAATAAATTACTACAAAAAAATTACTCTAGCATATATTTTATGTTGTTGTTGAAAATAATTTCTTAACAATAAATAGTTATTGTTTACAAATGTTTACTTAAAATATGTAAATTGCATCTTTTTTTTTGTACAATGAGTGTTTTTGATAGATACTCCCTGTCTCCCTTTGTACCGCTAAGATTCTCTTATTTTTCTCTTTCGATCCGTCCCTCTAACATTGTCTCATAAAAAATTAGGTAACGTTTGTGTGATTTTAAATCATTCTTACTTTATTCTTACTTTATCAATTCAATACCAATTGCATAAACTTATTATTCTTAATAATCGTGGCACCACCTCATGTCCCAATGTTAGTGGGACAGAGGTATAATAGACTAATAGTACAATGTAACACTTATCAAACTTAGTATAACAATAATTTAATAATATTTTAAATTAAACTTATGAAGTATTGTGTGCTTATTAGAATTTTAGTTTCTTATATACTATACTAGTGATTACTCGCGCAAGGCGCGAGAGTGTTTGTCTAATATTAAAATAATGTTAATTGTCTTTTGTAAAAAAAGTGTTACATGCAAAATAGTTAGGAGACTTTTGTAAGTAGCTAATGAAATTTTACATATCGAGATCGTTTAGTGACTCTATTTTTCGGCTTATCAGGCTTACCGGCCAACTTTTTATTTCGCGTGTAGAATAGTGTAATAATAACAAAAGGTAAGGTTGTAGTTAATTTTTTGGCTGTGTTGGCTGAACTTACCGTAGATGACTATTTAGCTATTTTCCATATTTGTTTTTTATTTTATTAATAAGAATATGTTTAAATTTTAATTTATTGATAAATCAGCAGAATCAGCCAATACAATCACTTCGATCAAAACTTCATAAATTTCAACAGAATCAGCCAATTCTAGTGCTACCAAACGGGCTCATCATATATTTTAGAGATTATCAGAATAATTATATTCCATGTCAACCATTTATTGTGCGGAAAATATGTGAGTATATGGTTCATCCTTAATCAATTTTTAGAAATACATTAAGAATATTGATGCAAATATGATTCAAATGCATATAGTTGTGCACAAACCATTTTTATGAACAATAAGTATTTCTCATTTGTGTAATCATATGTGTTTGAAGTAATAAAAGATTACATTTAAGACACATATTTAGCTATGTAGTATCAACCTTAGATACAAAATTTGTGT